TTTATTTATTTATTTTTCTTTTTGCGGAACCGGAAATTGAACTCAGGCCCTTGTGTTTGCCAGGGAAGCACTTATTCTACTGAGCCATCTCCCCGGCCCTAGCATTTTATTTAAATGTTTAAATATTTGCCATTTAATAATAGAAAATTAGACCACATAGTGTCATTAAAGCAGATAATACTGTGTTTTTATGAATGTGTGTGTGTGTGTTGGATTTCCTCACATTATTGGCAGAAAATTACCTTTGAGAAATCTGGCCACCTTTTAAAGATAGAATAGTCAAGCATAAAGTATATTCATAAGTATTAATCTTGGATTCTAGTTGTAGTTCTTGAGTAGCTTCATTTCTAGTCTATCAGGAGTGTTAATGTTTGTAAAGATTTAACGAATCTTTACAAACATTAACACTCCTGATAGACTAGAACGAATGTTTATGGTTAGAAGGGTATATTATGTTCAGAAATCGAATTAGTCACTTATTAGTTCTTAATCATATCAAAAAGAAAATTTTGATAAATGGAGTAAAATAAATCATCCAACTGTTCCGTTAATAAATGGCTTTTCTGTTGTTGTTTCTAAGTAGCATTTTGTTTCGGGGGGGAAATTCATCCCACGTTTGAGTTGCTTGTCTACTTTCAGTCTTTTATGTCTGTTCACTAGATTTCTAATTAATGTGATTTGTAACTATGGTACATGTTTCTAGGTATATAACTGATGAAATACATGAGACAGAGCCATCAGCACCAGATACTCCAAAAGACAGTCCTATTGTACAACTAGTTCAAGAAGAAGAAGAGGAGGCAAGTCCCTCCACAGTGACCCTTCTGGGCAGTGGGGAACAGGAGGATGAATCATCACCTTGGTTTGAGTCAGAGACGCAAGTATTTTGTAGTGAACTGAGTACAATATGTTGTATTTCCAGTTTTTCGGAATATATATACCAGTGGTGTTCAGCTAGAATTGCTTTTTACCGTCAGTACAGCAAAAGTGCTATGAGGGAAGGAAATGATTACCATGTGCCAGCTCAGCCGTCAGTATCCTTTCCTGCGGAACCAGTTGATGCCTCAGTACTGCAGCCTCCAAGTGGAGAATTGGACAGTAAGAATATGGAAAAGGAAACTGAAACTGTTGCTCTTGATGACTTTAGTTCACAGAAAGGTGATTTGATAAATCACACAGTAGAGCTGATTGAACTTGAACCAAGTCATTCTCAAGCTCTTTCTCAGTCTATTCTCTTAGATAGTACTCCAGAAATGAATTCATTACTGAAAGAACGATCTGAATCTGTTAAGCATGAGACAGGGCCTGTACCATCACAAGTTATTACACAAGAGAGTTCTGTTGAGTCTGATAATAAAACAGAGAAAAAGTCTCAGAGCTTTAGTTCTATAGAGAAGCCATCTGTGATCTATGAAACAAACAAAGTAAATGAGTTGACAGATACTATAAAAGAAGATGTGACCACCATGCAGATTATCACAAAGGTATCTGAAACAATAGCACCCCCTGTAAACACAGCCACTATATCAGACAGTGAAGATGGAGAAGCCAAAATGAACGTAGTTGACACACCAAAGCAGATTTTGACTCCAGCTGTGGATTCTTCATTATCTGAAGTAAAAGAGGAGGAACAGTCTCCAGAAGATGTTCTTTTGCGAGGGTTGCAGAGGACTGCTACAGATTTCTATGCTGAATTGCAAAATTCTACAGATCTAGGATATGCTAATGGAAATCTTGTACATGGATCAAACCAAAAGGAGTCTGTATTTATGAGACTTAATAATCGTATTAAAGCCTTAGAAGTTAATATGTCTCTCAGTGGTCGCTATCTGGAAGAGCTTAGCCAAAGGTAAGCATCACTGTGAATTAGTACCATCTATTTCACATTCTAAGATTACTAGCAGGGTATGATCTGTGATTATAGAGGGAGAACGTTCAACTATCTCATGATGTGCTAATAGTACAACTGTAACTGGAGGGAGAAAGCTATTTGTATGCTTATCAGTGACAGAATTTTCTTTTTCTAAGTGTTAGAAGTCCTACTAAAGGATGCAACACTCCTGTTATTAGTCTGGTAACAAGTTTATATTGTCTGTACTAACATTCTGTGTGTGTGTGTGTGTGACCTCTTTGCCTATGTTAGGATCTCACTATGTTTTCCAGATAGTTCTCAAACTCCTGGGCTCAAGTGAGAGCCTTGGACTTGCTCCTTGGCCTCCCAGATAGCCTGAACTATAAACATGCACCACTTACAACCCAACCTCATTTTCTCCTCCTATTGCTTAACTTTAGTGACTTTTACTATTTGATTCCATGTGGATATATAAGAAATACATATCTTACCTGTAAGGGGAAATTGAGCAGATGTCACTTAAGAGAGTGGACTAAACTGGATGCTTGGGATTTGAAACTTTCACTTTTTTATATAAATGATAGAATCCCAGTTGTAAATGTGATCACTTATGCCCTGTGCTTGTGCCAGAGGCAGTGCCAGTATTCTTCTGCAATATTAAGACTGAATAGGGCCAGGGAGATGGGCTCAGTGGAATAAGCGCTTGCCTGGCAAATGCAAGGGCCTGAGTTCAATCTCCGGTTCTGCCAAAAAAAAAGACAACAGTTTTTCAATTTTAGACTTATTCTTAGTTATTTTAGTACTGTATCTAGTATCTTTCTTTATGGCTTCTCCCCCAAACTTTGCAATCACTAAGCATCAGGTGTCTAGAATTCTTGAAACACATTTTTCTCACTCATCTGACTCTGAAATACTACTGAGATGTCTGTACAGTAAAGAAGATTTCTTCCTAATCTATACATAGGTTTATAATTTATTGGCAAGTTGTGTGTTATGTGTACATGCCCTTTTAGCTACCTCATCCCTATTCTTGCCTTTTCCTACCTGGTGTGCACCCCGAGGGAAATGTAGAAATCAGTAAGTTTTACGTAACAGTGAGATGCGTAGCCTCAAGTTTAGGTAGCTAATATTTCAAAGACCTCTTTATTGTACCTTTGTAAGTGTTCCTGTATTGTACAAGCCTGAATAAGATTTATTTTTTAAAACATCTCTGATAGCAAAATCAGAAGTGTGTTTCCAGTACTAAATGAATAAAAAATTAATTTATATCAATTCTTACTCTGTAGGTACCGAAAACAAATGGAAGAAATGCAAAAGGCTTTTAATAAAACAATAGTGAAACTTCAGAATACTTCAAGAATAGCAGAGGAACAGGTTGGTTTTTTTCTAATCCTGTTTATACTTCATGTATATGTCCATTATTTTTTTAGAACCTAATTGGTATAAAGAATAAGTAATGTTTTGTCTGATAGCTGGTGATTAAGCTGGAATTTGATGTTTAGAAAGTTATGTAGCTATCAGCCTTCTCACCAGAGACAGTTTCCTTGAGCGTTGCAAATACTTAACATTTTGAATGTGCAGTGAACTTTTCTGCTTTAAGACTCAAAATATTATGGTTTTCTCTGCAGATAACCTGACTGCAGACAAAAATCACTTTGTTTTTCTTCTGTTTTGGGTAGAACTATATAGTAATGCAGTAGGACTGAGGATATGGGTGATTTCCCAGTGTTGTTTTTAAGAGAGCAGTTTCAGAGTTGTAACTTTTAAGTATGATACGTGCTTATCACAAATAAATTTTTATACATTTGTTAGAAATTAGAATTGAAAGATGATGAGTTTAGTTAGTTGCCTATTAGTGTCTGCATCTGGTATATAATTAATTATGGTCCTTTCTTTATGGCTTGTTTTTTCACTATTGAGGTTTGAGAGTTTACAACTTTTGAATACACATGCTTTATTAGAGATGTGCTTTGCAAATACTTCCCACAAATCTGTTATACTGGTTTCTTCATTTTCTTTTTAGTGTGGTTGTAACAGCTGAAGTTTTTGATCTGTTGAAGTTTAACAGTTTTTGTTTTGCTATATGAAATATATGCCTAAAGTAGAGTCACAAAGATACTTTTCCTATCTTTGAGTTTTAATTTTTTTAATCATTACATGTTTTCAGCACATAATTCCTTATGTGAAATTAGTACATACAGGTAAAACGTTTTAAAAAAATCTTTATGTAATTTGTACAGGGTCTCACTACACAGCTTAGAGTCTTAGTGAACCTCCTTAGTTTCAGCCTCCCCAGCATTGGGGATTTCAGTGCTGGCATAGCCCAGGGCCAGCATGGCATGCTCTACTGGGGATTGAACCCAGATCCTCACGTTTGCCAGGCAAGTGCTTTAGACCACTGAGCTATCTCCCTGGCCCCAACACAGTTTGTTTTACTTGAGGCTTTTGCTTCAGTTTGAATTAATTTTTATATGCTATGAGGTATAGATAAAAGTTCTTTTGGAGACGGTGTAAAGTGGAAGGCACACTAATACCTGTTTGAGTATCATTTATTGAAAACATTGTCCTTCACTGCACTTTCTTTGCGTTTTTGATAAATTAATTTAGCATATGTATTTGAGTCTCTGGATTTCCTACCTGTTCCACTGGACTGTTCTTTGTCCTTCATGCTTAGCATATGGTTACTGTAGCACTACATTCTTGACATCAAGCAATGTTAAGTCCTGAAACTTTGTTCTCATCTAAAATTGTTTTAGTGATGATAGTTTTGTAGTTTTGTTTGTTTGCTTGCATTTCTTTATGTATTTTATAATTATTTTGTCAGTTTTTTTAAAATTAAACCAAAACTTGTTTGACTCATGACTGGCATTATGTTGAATTTATAGATCAGTTTGGAGAATTGACATCTTAAATCTTTTGATCCATGAGCATAATACTTAATTCAATTTTAATGTAATTTCTCTGCTGTATTTTCTTTGTGTTTAATATGTAACATGTAGTGTCTTGTACCTCTAAGATTTGTGTAGGTATTTTTGATTGAACTTCTGTGTTGTTATCACTATTTGAATTGTCAACAGTTCTGCAATGGAAGTGCCAACCAGCTTATTAAACTGGTTTGTGCTCTGCTTGTTTATAACTATCTTGAAATTATGAACTCAAACATGAGTCAGGGTTCAAAAGATGCAATTTAGTGAATCATGGTAACATTTTGAAAAGATAAAAGTATGACAGAAGGCACCACCAGGGGATCACAGCAAAGAAAAATGTGAAACTTTTTGTTCCAATTTTATGTGTGTCTCCCCCCTACACAGCTAAGACTATCTTTTGTAATCCAAATTTGTAAAACTTAGTGTAGAATAATAAGTGGATATATAGATGTTTTATATCGGTACAAAAATACTTAAAATTTTTGGCCTTCTTGCCCTCTTTTCCTCTCAACCAGCTTCATTAGTAGGCTCACATTTACAGTACAGGTTGTCTAAATTAGTTTTATAACTATTAATATGGTGTGTAATTTTTTGAAATATACATGCAAATGGTGTTTTAAATAAATGTTTTTTGAGTTTTTTAGTTTCTAAAATGTAGAGCTGCCTAAAAGATGGAATGATAGGCAAATTTTATTAATTTCTTTTTATTGATGGGATCCTATCATTGATTAAATAACCAGTTTTGGGCACTTGACTGTGACATACTAAGTTCCATTATAATATCTATGAATGAGGAATTTTTAAAACTTCTTAGTATTGAGTCCACTTTGTGTTCAGAAAATTTTTCAACAAGGTGTCAACGTGTCTTTCTGTCAATTGTTTTCTTTCTGTTTTGGAGCCGAGAATTCACTTGCCAGGCATGTGCTGTGCCGCTGAGCTGCATCCCCAGCCCTGTTGATTTCTTTAAGAACATGTGTTTAACAGAGTGACAGCTTTTGCATGTAGCTGGTTATCTGCTGGGATATTGATATGAAACCCCTATACATTTATTAACTTCTATGTTAACACAGTATTCTGCATTGTATTAGTCAGTAACAAAAAACAAAAATTTTGAGAGGAACAAGGTTTCAACAGAGTTCCAGATTCTTAGTTTTGTTTTTTTTTTTAATTTCTGGCGAAAGCTTACAGTGTTTATTCAAAAAGATTTTAAGAATACATTGTTTTGAAATAGTTGAGTGACTGTTCCAATTATTCTAGTTGAATCTGTAGTGTAGCTTATGAGTTTGTGTACATATGAAATACAGAGAAATATACTTAATGTTTCATTACAGGACCAGAGGCAAACTGAAGCCATCCAGATGCTGCAGGCGCAGCTGACCAACATGACACAACTTGTTGCAAACTTATCAACAACAGTTGCAGAGTTAAAACGGGAGGTAATTACATTGTTGGTTTGCAAAACAGTGCATGTGGGAGTGTTGTCATAAGGCAGGGTTATAGACATGAACATGTAAGAATTTAGCTCAACCATACTCATTTTTAGAGAACCTTTTTGGTAAAACAAAATTGGTGTTTTAAAGTTTCAGAAATGGGGCTGGAGAGATGGCTCAGTGGTCTAAAGCACCTACTTAGAACAAGTTCAGCGAAGCACAGGGACCACGGTTCAATCCCCCAGCACCA